AACGGTGTGGAATCGACCAGAATAGGTTGATCATCTAGCATATAAGAATTTGTGTGTATTGCAACTTGCAAGGTTCTGGTCTTCTGGAATCATCAAAATGATAAGAAATTTGGCCAAGTCTTGGTAAAGTTACAAACACTGTACACTGAAAGATGGAACTACACGAACACCTGGCGTAAAAAATCCTACCCTGGATGTAGTACATGCCATATATTATATTTAGAATATGAAGGCATTTGAAGAGCCATGCTTTTCAGGGAACATGTCTTATCTGATGTTCTTCTACACTTGCATAATAAGAATGATAACGCTCACAAATTATTTTTCACCTCTTCCCAGAACTCAACCTTTCTTTAAAACTACTTTTGCGCAAGTCCGTTTCCACTCTCTCAAAAATAAATGCCTCCTGTTCATCCAAGCGTAAACACATACCACACAAAAATGATACCAAACGATTCGGGATATAACACTCTTTCAAAACATGTATGATAATCTTTCGTTCATAGCTGAATTTGAAAATAAATTACAATTTTCTGAGTGTAAACTATTTTTGACTCACAGCTCAATCACACGGTGAGGTTACAACTCAAAAGTTAGAAACTACGCTAATTGCAAGGTGTGGGACCGAAGTGAAAGAAGCCATCACAAGCACAGGCACAAATTATCCGACTCTGGCTTCATGCCTGAACTCAAATTAAATGGAAAGCAAGTTAATCAAAACATAATAATTAGTGTAAGTGTAATTACTTTCCAGATTTAAAAAGAAGAGGCTAAAATGCCGCTGTTTTAAACAGGAAATAAATAACACATGCATACCTGCACCTGCATACCTCTCTAGCAGACGTGAAGTTAGCACACTTAAATTCTTCCATCAAGATAGGCAAGTATGGTTTTCTCAATATATTGATGCAAATTATGTTATTCACTGTTACGAATAATTCCATTTCAATAGTCAGAATGTGAATTGCATATATTATTTGTTGCTAGGTAGGACGAACAAAATGGCTTGCCCTACCTTACATGATGTATATGCGAATTGCATACTGAATATTAAAATATAATTATTTGTAACAGGTGAATGAAATAATTAGTATCAATTAGGCACTCTATACAAATTATGGTTTGGTTACATTACGAAAATGGTCTATTTAGGCAAACCTAAAAGAAGAAATACCAATGATCATTATTTCGGTAAGACTATATAACAGAATGTTGAAAGAAAGAATTAAAAGGGGGAAGTTGAGATGTTTAGTAAGACTGCAAAGGCGGCCCTCCCGGAGGGGCAGGGGGCACAGTGCCCCCCCCCCCCCAAACTTTTTCAAGCACCCGAAAAGTGCCCCTTTTTACAACGGAATAGTGCCCGTTTTACTTTGACAAGTGCCCCTATTAATTGTAAAAGTGCCCCTTCCCCCTTTTCAACTCTGATAAGTGCTCCTTTTTTTTTGGATACGAGAAGTGCCTCTTTTCACTGATATAAGTGCCCCCTTCACCTCTGATAATTGTCCTATTTAAATCTGAGAGGTACGTGCCTCTTTTACTTTGACAAGTGCCCCTTTTTCTAATAATAAGTGCCCCATTAAAAAAGAGCCCCTTCCCCTTCTCATAAGCGCCCCTTCTCTGGTAAATGACCCTTTTCATGTACGAGAAGTTACTCCTTTTCACTTCAGATAAGTGCCCCCTTCACCTCCGATAAACGCCCCTTTAAAATCTGATCGGTGCTCATTTTCTTTTAACTAATGCACATTTTCCTTTATTACAAGTGCCCCTTTTTCATTCACATAAGTGCCCCTTTTCAAATGCAAAAAGTGCCTCTTTTCTCCTCTGATAATTTCCCTTTTAACAATATAAATAATATCTTATAAATGCCCCTATCAAAATCTGATGGGCCCTCTTTTCCGTCGACAAATGCCCAATTCCAATTCTCAAGACTGACTTTTTTCATCCCTGGTGAGTGCCTCTTTTTGAGAACGTAAGAAGTTCCCCATTTTCACCTCTGATAATTAATCTTTGGCACATGCTCCTTTTCTTTCCTGATAAGTGTCCACTTTTCCTCTCATCATTAAACGCGCCTTAGCTAATTTCATGCGACTAAGAGCAATTTTCCCAAAAGCTCGCTCGCTACACTCGCACTCATCTATAGATGATATACTTGTATTACTTATCAAAGGTTTTTTCATTCAGTCTTCCGTTACGAGAATGTGCCTATGATCAGGATTGGGTTTTTCCTCTTTATAAGATGTATTTTTTCGCACTGCGACCTCTCACATCTTAAACAAATTGCAAAGCATGATGCTTAAGCAATATCTAGTATGGTGTATAAAGTGAAACAAATATTGAAATCATACAGTACCTGGTAATTGTAATCACAATGTAGGGGTATATACCAATGTCTAAAAAATGGTATATTTTCGCTTTGAGATTTCCCTTTGAATATGCCCCCTTTTCCCCAGAAAGTGCACTTTTTTCTTGGTGCCCCCCCCCCCCCCACTTTGGAAGTCGCTCGGCCGCCCCTGGTTGACTGTACGTGCCGCAATATATGTTGTCTTGTTGATTTTTAGTAATACAGTACAACAGTGTAGCCTATTCATATTTGTATTCCCCCTAGTATATATCATGAAGCACAAGGCTGAGTTTCCCCCTGATAGTTATGGTAGGGCCTACTGCTCTTCACATCATCATTAACCATTTTAGATTTAATTCACGTTTGATTTATTTTCAGGTTCGGGTGCATGGAATATCACAAAAAGTGAAACAAATATTGAAATCATACAGTACCTGGTAATTGTAATCACAATGTAGGGGTATATACCAATGTCTAAAAAATGGTATATTTTCGCTTTGAGATTTCCCTTTGAATATGCCCCTTTTTCCCCAGAAAGTGCACTTTTTTCTTGGTGCCCCCCCCCCCCCACTTTGGAAGTCGCTCGGCCGCCCCTGGTTGACTGTACGTGCCGCAATATATGTTGTCTTGTTGATTTTTAGTAATACAGTACAACAGTGTAGCCTATTCATATTTGTATTCCCCCTATATAGTATATATCATGAAGCACAAGGCTGAGTTTCCCCCTGATAGTCATGGTATGGCCTACTGCTCTTCACATCATCATTAACCATTTTAGATTTAATTCACATTTGATTTATTTTCAGGTTCGGGTGCATGGAATATCACATCCCTTCGCTTTACCAATCAAATGCAGACATCAAACTTGTGCATCCCAATGCTTGCTCCTTTACATTTTAATTTCAAACAGAAATTATGCTTTCTTACTTAGCCTATATAGTTAAAAACTGATGACCTCTTTGAATGACATTTAAATTATGCCCCGTTGGTAAAATACAAAAGCCCAGCCATGTACCCACTTTGATTTTTTTGGCTCATCGATTTAGTACTTTAATCCATATCATGCGCTCTATTCCATTGTTACAGCTCCCCCCCCCCCAAAAAAAAAAGTATTATCAAGTTTTCTGTATAGACGATGTTCACTTAGGCTCCATATAATCATGCGACTAGTAAAATCTCTTCCAAGTGAACTTAGATGCCCCAGGTAAAATAAGTACCCTCCTGAGGCTAACAATCCCCTTACCTGATGTAATTATCGGCCCTTCTTTATATGATGTGCCCTTGCCTTATTCGTGGGGAGAAAAAAAAACACTCGAAAAACCCGCTGCAAAATATTTTATTTCAAAGGCTCCAAAGTAAATTAATATAAATATTAAATGAAGTAAAAGTGGACCCCTAAGAAGGAAAACTTAACTGTAACCATGCAGCTATAGGTCTTATAGAGTAAACTCTTTGAAAGTCTGAAAGGCGTTGGCTGTTTGAAGAGATCAGGGGTTATTATAGTTTTTATCATTAATATAGATCTAGTATAGGCTATATCAGTTCTCATGATCGAACATACATTTAATTCTCTTATGATCTATAAGACATTTTACTAGACTTTACATATATAGTACTGCTTCTCCCCCCCCCCCCCACCCTTTAAAAAAAAATCTTTTCTTGACGTTAAGTTCTTTCTAAAAAGCGTAAATAGTTTATAACCCCTTAGGCATTTTATTTGTTATATATTTAATATTGAAAGGTGTTTTAACGATTCAAGCTCTATATGCTTATTCGGGGCGCTTATTCATCACCTTCTTTCAACTGTAACAATAGTTGAAACTTGTCTTTTAAAGGTACTATGTCCCTTTTGCAGCCAATCTCAAATGTAGAACTTTGCAGGAATTATGAATATATGTCGTGCGTATGTCCTATCTGTGAAATTTAAACGTAAGCAGTGTCCTAGTATTCAAATTATGCAAGGAAACCCGTTTACTTGCTAGACTTCACTGTCAGACAGTATTGAGTGACTGACTGGCTTTTTTCTTCTCTGTTAATAACATACATAAAATGAGCTGTAAAGGGGACATGAGCATTTGTCTACATCAATAACCCACTTCTTGTGATGGCCCAAATTAAACTGATTGAATCTTTGCGCAGCATAAAACGTATGACCATTCGGTGCAATGGTCTGAAAATTAAGACTATTACTTATTGGTTCTATAGCTCAATATGACAACTAATAGTCGTTATTTTCCCACTTGAAGACTTTTTAAAGCCCCACTTTATTTAGGGAAGTTCTAAATTAGTATTATCTTTCAAATGCCTTTGGAATTTAACCTTTTCATTTGTTTGGCCTGCAAATGGGACATATAGTACCTTTAACATTGTTATATTCTTTTTAATGTGAAATCAATTCAAATGGATTGTAAGAATGAAAATGATTTGTTATATTATATTCTTTTTCATGTGATGTTAACTCCAATGAATTGTGAACATACCTGCATAAATAAATAAATAAACTATACATGAGAGAAGGTGGGGGTAGAGCACTGATCTCTACGGAAAAATCCGAGATCAGTGGGGCCTGGGGTAGAGTGGTTTGAGTTCGTTGCATAGAGATATATGTATAGTAGTTATATATCTCTATGGTTCGTTGGTACTTTTGTAGCGGTCATATTCGATGACCTCACTTCCGGTGCCGGGTCAAGTAGAAAGGACGGCGAGGTAAGTTACAATGTCAGGTTTCGGCATCGAAATATGTTTAAAAAAGGGCATTTTCCGTGTGGTATTATAATTTGTGATGCATCATAAATACGATGGGATAATTTCGATTTGAAGTGTGTCTTTAGATTATTTCAAATTCTATTGCAAATAGTTGTAAATCAATGTCGGCTTTACTGTGCGATTACGATCCTTTGACTTTGCGTAACTAACTGCATTGTGCAGGCCCATACATCCGTTTGTGTGTCTTGTTTGTAATTTGTAATCGGACTGTGCAGTGCAGTGTCTATGTGTCGTGCATGAATTTGATTATTGTTAAACTTGCTATGACTTGGTACTTGGTCGGGTAATCCCTTTGGCAGCTCACTCAGGAAGCTATAGGCCTACTGGGATGGTAGGTGACGTTATAGAGTAAAGGAGCCGGTAATCGGCCAGCTCCCGTTTTCGGCCGATTGGTTGGATGTAAGGTAAAATCACTCTAAAATACATCGCATAATAGCATAACACATATCCCACACATAATCTACCATATCATGCCAGTGTCACTGATGAACCACATTTGCAATGAAAAAAATATCCTAAAATATCACATTTTAGCGATGTAATCGGCGGTCCCGCTACCCAAATCTGAAAAATCGAGTTTCTTACGCGTGTATGTAAGAAATATGGGTACCATAAAATGAGCTTTATTTCAAGTATTTTTCAGATTTAGAGCCCGACTTTGTGTTAGTCGCAAGCTCAAAAGTATCTCATCGCATGTATTAAATCAATGCAGCCGGACCCTGCCACGCACACACGATATGTCTGTCTAATTCAGATTCCAACTTCCGATCACCGCTGTGCCTGTCTTCGGCCAGGCGAGCACCATGGAGCTCCGGCGTGGGATACCTGCTCCGCCCGCTTGTGCTGTACATCAGCGCGGAAACGCACGGCGCGCGCGAGCGCTTCCTATTGACTTTGTACATGCGGCCGTAAACTGAAACGCTCGGCTGATAACTGGCTCCAAAACAGTGAAAATTGAAATGAATATTGTCATGGCAATTCGTGATTTTTTTCTGGGATTCTTTTTTTGTTTAAATAATAATAATATTTGCTTCATGATTTGAACAAAAAATGATAATAAATAGGAAGTAAAGGGTCCTAAAAATAGGATTTTGTCTTAAGTGGCCGAAAACGGGCTCCTTTACTCTAAACAAATTAAGCCACACTCTTCAGTGGGGGCGCTGGTCCGAGAATTAGGATCGATCGTCCGCATAATAAACGTGGACAAAAAATTCATCCAAAAGTAAGGATGCGCACGAGTTTGTTTTTTTCGTAATAAAATACCGCCAGTTCACAGTTAACTTGTATAGGTTGTCCGTCTTCCCGAGGAATTTATCGCTCATATTATGTGAAACTGAAAGTCTCTGTAGATCTACCACGTAGAAGAATCCCCTATCCAACTCGGTGAACGGAAATACGCGCCGCTGATTGGCTGATCGCGTGACCCTCGCTTGTCTGCTAGCTGCGAGGCATGGGCGATCCGCTCTACTGTGTCTGTGCGAGGTGTATTGTACTGTGTATTGTAGCGGCCGTGTTGCGGCCCTGCACTAAACTGGAACACCAAGCAAAAACTGGCGACCAAAGACACATTCAGTGTATATGGTTTCAACGATGTCGCTCTCTACACACTCATGTCGCTCACATACAATTTGCAGGTAGCTTTACACACACTTCAACCTACACATACATATCCTTTACAAAAACTTCCGACGAAATCATCAAAAATATGACTTACCGAAACAAAGAACCACCATACGATTTTGCTGAAAGTACCTAGAAATATCGATGACACCGATGGCGAAAAAAATTGTTCAAAAATCGAAGTCGGGATGGAAATATAACGAGTTTGATATCAACGTAATCGAGAAGTCGCAGGCAGAAATCATCGCACTCATAGGTTTAACATTGTGGGAAAATATGCAAATGAAATGAGTAAACACCCAATCAACTACGAGCATCGTGATGCTAGCACTTTTATGAATGAAAAATGATGTCAGTCGGGCTTGAGCAAACAGAAGAGCGCATTGGGCATGCGCGAGTTTTGTGTGTAATTCTTCTTCGTGTGTGCAAAGTCAATGTGAAATGCATCAAGAAAATCATCCGTTTTTTCGCATCAGCAATGCGCGGATCGGAAATCCAAATGGTCAGCAAAAATGTGTACAATCTTTATTTTTGCGTACGCGTCTGTCTGCGTTGAAGAAGAAGATCCTCGTTTATGCAGACAATCTTTATTCTTAGATCTTAGACCAGCGCCCCTACTGTTTATTCTAGATATGTTGATTCTCAAAACTTTCAAACGCCACTAGATATTAAAAGTTAAACTATCCAGAATGCACTCAAAATCAGCACCTCAGGGGCTCAGTTAGATCTAGTGACAATCGATGATAAAATAATCATGCAAATGCGATAAATTCAATTCACCGAAAAGCGAAATTCAGCGAATCATCATCAGCGACAATGTTGCACACACAAACCAATTTTTTATTTTAGACATCTACTATGAAAATTTGGTTTAGAAATCTAGTAATGTCAATTCTGTCAATGATATTTATTTCCAATTTAATATTTCAGGGTACAAGTCATTTTGCAATATCAATGAGTTTAATTTTACATTTGAATGATTTTTAGGTGTCATCAATTGTCACTAAGTAAACTTCGGCAGATTTTGAGTGAATTCTAAATTTCTATTGATGTTTGATAGTCTTAGAATCAAAAGAGGTTTTCTAACTTTTCTTAAATGTTTTTTTTTTTATGACACACAGGCACAGCGTGGTATTACACTACGGTTTGTATTGCTGCTATTACTTATTACTATCTCTTTCACTTTGTCTTCCATGTTCAGTCTCCCATTCTCCAGGAACTGTTCTATTAACATTATTCAAAATGGGCATGAAATTCGGTAACCTGGCAAAGTTCAGAGGGGTCATCACTTACACCCTCTCTCCACATGAGCAGAAGGCATTCGCAGGAGCCTTTAGCAGAGGTCTGCCCAACATCTTCAGGAGATTCAGATCAAAGGTCTTCATCGTCACACCACGTGAGTATTTTAAATACTGGGGGATTTCCATGAACTATATTATCATAAAAAGAAAATGACATGAACAGATAACAACTAAATTATTTATAACCATTGTAAACTAAATGGGATTTTTTTTTGGGGGTGTTACTGTTACTCAATGAAATGTTGATTTGTTGAATACTTATATAAGCTTTAATATGTCAGATCTCTCAAGAAGCCTAAATCAGGACAATTCAATTTTCTCACTGTCATCATGTGCAATGATGTTTAATAAAAAAAAATTCTATAGTAAATTTGCTCTCAGCATATCAGATGCCCCACTGAGCAAATTATCGGCCGACGCGATTTTCAAATTTTTGGGAGCAAAAAAAAAAAAAAATTAGTGCTCACCCCCCCCCCCCCCCCCCCTACTATACCTCAAGTGGAAAGGAAAAAGAAAAAAGTGCTGTCTGTTTAATTTTCATTTAAATCAGAGAAAAAGCAAAAGTGAATTAGCTAGAATTGTGGATTCAAAATTATTTTGATATACAAATGCAATTTAAGTGCAATAACATTCTGTACTAATGAAGGCATTCAAGTGCAATATCATTCTGTACTAATGTAGGCATTCAGCAGTAGTAGTTTGTGCACACCTCGGCTAGGCAGGGCTATCTGGTCATGTATTCACCATGCAGGATGCCTGGAATTCCCTGTATAGTGCATAGTTAATACATAAACATGATCAGCTGACCCTGCGTAGTTATTTTTGCGCATGAATATTCATGCAGAATGTCCCTAAAAAGTAATAGTACAACTTAAAATTCCAGTTGTGTGTGTGTATTAATATACCTTTCTTTCTTTTTATTTTCATGTGCAGCATTTGTTGTGGCATACCTGATCTACTCGTGGGGAAACGCAGAGAACGCCAAGTCAAAACGAAAGAACCTGGCCGATTATGAAAACGAATCATAGAATCCACCACTCCAAGTTTCAACATCCTACAGGATCCTCAAAGTCTCTCATCTTTATGTATCACCATGACTACGGGAAGCCGCTGCCTCCTCTACCAAAGTGTTCACTCTTAACGATGATGATTACGACGACTGGCCGCTTTTGCATTTAAATTGTAGAAGAGATTTCGAGGACTTTTTCAAATGATATATTATTGAAATGTGTTATCACTGTAAATAATAGTGACCTAAACAAGAACAGCAGCAAGTGGAGAAGAAGCAATATTTACACACAAAATAGAAAGGCTAAAATACTCATGGATTTCATTATCAGGCACAGATATGATGCTAAAATTGGCAGTGGTGTGTATTGTCTCTAATTTATCAATGTGATGGCCATGATCATCTATTGTTGAGTAGTGTTTTGGGCGGGGATGAGATTCGATGTGTCCATTTATCTCTTTCAAGATTTCAAGCTAGGTCATATCGGTATATATGTACATCTGCATACATGCAAATATATATGACAAAACACAGGCCCGATGTACATGTCTGTGTTTTGCCAGAAATAATAATAGGCAGATTTGCACCGTACTTGCAGTTGTTTGTAAATTATTCTGAGACTTATTAAATGTTTGTTCACATTTGAAAAGTTGATAATTGTGTGGTCTCTGTATCATATTGAATAGTACATTTTGTGGTATTTTGCAATGAGCACAGATTGCTATGGTGACTTATTTGTCTTAATGTGCTTTGTAAGTCATTAATGCACTAAGAAAGCAAAGAATCACATACGAGTCAAGTTAATGGCATGCTTCTTTCAATGTACACAGCTTAAACAGTTAGGGATAGGAGTAATTTACTATTTCACCACTTTCAATTTTTTTCAAACGAAAATAGTTTTGACCTAAAATAGTATCTTTATCTTAGTTACAAGCATAGAAGTGTCATTACAAAAGATAGTTGGGGAAATTAGAAAGACGGCTAAGGGGGAAAGGGGATGGAGAGAGAGAGAGGGGGGGGGGAGCAAGAGAGAATGAAAATAAGAAGGAGAAGTGGGTAAGGAGAGATAGGAGGAAAAACAAAGAAGAGATAGGAGGAAAAACAAAGAAGAGATAGGAAAGAGAGAGAAAGAATGAGAAGTACATTTGTACCTATATGAGAATACCATAAAAAATGATGTGACGTAAAAGTGGAAAGGAAACAAGGAGTGAGAAAAAGACAAGAAGAAGAAAAGATGAAACACTCCATGATATAATAGACACATTAATTATTTATTGGATGGGTGGAAAAATGTGACAATACTCCAACTTTGAGATAATAATGCATGTGTTCAACATAATTATAGAGCTATTACATCAACTCTAATCATGTTGAAGTTCCCTCGATTTCACTGCCAAGCTGTCTTGGGTGTTTACCAATAATATCCAAAATCTTACCCCTTTGTGATGATGTATTTTTAAATTATTTTTTTTTGCTCTTTTAAATCGTGGGGATAAACAAAGCTCAACGTCATTGCAAACCTATATGAAGCTATGAAGTCCAGCTATCAAATCCTCTGGTGTGGGCAGTTATGATTTATTTTAGTTTCAACCCCCCCCCCCCCCCTCCTCAAGGCATTTTTAAAAATTTCTCTTCCCATAAATTTGCAATTTTTAAGTATGGGCACTATATATTATATGTTTTAATTCTTGCCAGTAACGTCCAGACACTGACAGTAATCAATTTTGTTTTAAAGTTATTAAATGGGGAATTTATTTTACAAAATATATGTACTGATTATGGAATTATGATTACATACGAGATATCATGGGGAAACAAAATATTTTTAAAAATTTGCCTCTGTAACTACAGATTTAAATTTACAAAGCATACGGAGAACGTAACAAAGATCGTGACATCTGTATATTACTCCAGCGTTTTTTTAAACCTTTATAGTCACGGCACCCTGTTTTTTTTTAAGGAATACAAAGTTTCGCGTCACCCCAACCGGGAAGGGGGGGGGGAGGGTAACTTGTACTCAGATTTGGTTTGGACGGGGGTGAGCGGCTGAAGCGTCACCCATACCCATTTTAAGGTTTTGCCATATTCCATTTGCATGAATGATTTATATTATCACATACCCTAATAAAAATTTACATGCCGTATTGATAACTTTGCGCGTCCATCGGCGAAGAATTTGGATAAGAATGCAAAATGATTTTAATTATTTTTGCGGGATTTTGCATCTGGAATTTTCACTTTAGCAAGATTTTATGTGGATTAAATATGATCCTGAAGAAAATAGTAACCCACGTTTAAGGCCAAGATCTGAAAAGTGGGGGCACTTTTATGGATCTTGCAGCACAAAATCTTACCCCAAGTTTTATAGGGATTTTTAATTTAAAAAAGTAACCCATTTATAGAGCCACGCATCCCCGCATACCGTAATAGGCGATCGAGTCCCCCCCCCCCCCGACACCCCAATCCCATCACAGAAGATACATTTTGCATCACTCTGGCACTTAATTATCAATATACCAGTGGGCACATTTATTTCTAAATTTTGCGAGCTCCGGCCTTCACTAGAAAATATATGTACAGGCCTATATGTTGTGTTATCAAAGCACTAGATAATATGTAAGATATTAAGTCATGTATGCGGGCATCGATCTATTATCTTTAAAATATAATATCTCATGAAACTCATGTTTTCTTCACAACAGTGACGTTACTCCAAAAAAAATGATTGATATAACTATATTTCTCTCCGTACACCCCTACATATGTCTTGCAGCACCCCGGGTAAAAAAAACACTGCCTTATTCGCTTCACCCAGTTATGAACTCATTTAAATTCTATTCGTTCGAACAAATAAATCCGTCCAGTCCGCGAGGTCTTTATGGAGCGCCAAAGGGGCCAATATCAACAGTCACAAAAACAAACAAAGATGCATACAAACAAACAAAGAAGCATACAAACAAACAAAGGACAGAGCAAAATAGACAAAGTACCCAGAAGAAAGGACCAATTAACAAAGAATAAATCAAAGGTCAGAGCAAAATAGACAAAGTACAGGTCAGAAGAAACAGAGGGCGTTTTGGTTTACGGTAAGCAAATAGACATCAGGCACGAAAACGAGAAAGGACAAACTCAAAAGGACATCAGCTCAGCTAGGAACCGACCCTCAAAGGACAACAGAGGGCGTTTTGGTTTACGGTAAGCAAATAGACATCAAGCACGAAAACGAGAAAGGACAAACTCAAAAGGACATCAGCTCAGCTAGGAACTGACCCTCAAAGGACAACAGAGGGCGTTTTGGTTTACGGTAAGCAAATAGACATCAAGCACGAAAACGAGAAAGGACAAACTCAAAACACTATGAACATGACAGACAATGAAAGCGGACAAAATATACAGTTCCTCAGGTAGACAAAGGGACAGCCCTTCACTGCTATTATGTAAAAATGTGTAGAACAGGTGTCACATGCATATTCACCTGTTCTACACATTTTTACATAATAGCAGTGAAGGGATGTTCCTTTGTTTTCCTGAGGAACTGTATATTTTGTCCGCTTTCATTGTCTGTCATGTTCATAGTGAAAGGACATCAGCTCAGCTAGGAACTGACCCTCAAAGGACAACAGAGGGCGTCCTCGAGGTTTTTTTCTTTTTAATCTAGGGCCTACTCCAATATAATACGCTGTAGGTCAATACAACAAATATGGGCTTTCATCGAAAGGGTGCGGTGCGGTGCGGCGCGGTGTGGTGTGCTCAACGCACCCATTCGATAAAAGAGGGGGGCCTTTTCTCGAAAGGGTGCGTTGAGAGCGGAGTACCATTTTAACACACCCTTTCGATGAAAGCGGGGGGGGGGGGCTTTTCTCGAAAGGGTGCGTCGACTAGTCTTTCGCATCAGTCGTTTAAAATGAAGATCTCGGACAGAAGGGTAATAGTTGCCAATTTAAGTATATCGAAAATGTATTAAATGAAATGGAATGGTCTTGATTACAGAGTGGTCTCTTTGATGGGGGAGACAGAGAGAAGGAAAAAAGGGAAAGGGAAGATAAAAGGAAAGAAATAAGAGGAAGAAGAAGAAGAAAAGAGGGAAACGGGGGCGAAAGGCTCTTGCCTCCCCCCCCCCCCCCCGCCAAAAAATAAATAAGAGAGAAAGAGAGAAGGGAAAGGGAAAGGGAAAGAGAATAAAAAAGGAAAGGAAGAAGAATATGAAGAAAAGAGGGGCTCTTGCCTCCTCCTCCTCCCCCCGCCAAAAGATAAGTAAGAGAGAGAAGGGAAAGGGAAAGGGAAAGAGAAGATAAAAGGAAAGAAAGAAGAGGAAAAAGAAGGAAACGGAGGCGAAGGGCTCTTGCCTCCTAGCCCTTCTTCCCCTCCTCCCCCCCCCCCCGCCAAAAAAAATAAATAAGAGAGAGAGAGAAGGGAAAGGGAAAGAGAAGATAAAAGGAAAGAAAGAAGAGGAAGAAGAAGAAAAGAGGGTAACGGGGGCAAAGGGCTCTTGCCTCCTTTCTTTCCTATTCTCCCGCTTTTTCGTTTTTCTCTTTCTTTTCTTTCTTCTCTTTTCTTTCCTTTCTTTTCTTTTTTTCTTTTCTTTTTCTTTTTTTCTTTTCTTTCCCTTTTACTCTTTTTCCCCCTCCCCCTTTTCTCTTTTTCCCGACGGCAGCGCAATTTTACCGACAATATCCTGACAGGTGGGGGGGGGTGTCGCACCCCCACACCCCCTTTGGAGACGCCCCTGCCTTCGCCACTGTTGGCGACCACAAGGCTATCAATACAAATTAAGACATATTAATGAAGATTCTTTTTTAATGTTGCAGAGAGATAAGTATTTTCTCTATGAACTTGTTTAATGGAAAATAAATAATATTAAAAACATGAATACTATAGCGGTATAATGATGAGAGAGATGATTTAAGTCATACTTTTTTTCAATGTGATTGGAGTGGACTTGAGGGTGGGGGGGGGGGTGTCCTCCTAAGATCTCGGCCGTTTCACAGCCGATCGCCGCGAAAATGCATATTTATGTTAATTTATGCAAACAAGGTCAGAGAATTCACATTTTTACCCATAAATCATATATAATTCATATTCGAGCGTTCTTTTTCACTTCATATATTCGTTAGAATAATAATACGACAACAAAGTTGGAAGAGCCAGTTTATCCCTATGTTATCTCTTGTTTTGATTATTTGTATTTATGTATTATATTATTTTGTTATTTCATTTCATTTCTAACCACAATTCAACTATTTTTACCCAAAATCAAACAAATTTACTTGAAACAAGACCAAATAACCAATGTTTTCTCTTTTTTTAAAAGAATAAATGGTATTTCCATATGTTTGGTACATAAATCACAAAAATGAGCGATTTTAGATTTTTTTGACATGCAAAAAACAAAAGGTCACGTGACTCCGCAATTATACGTCCGATTTTCAACAAAAAAATGTTTCAAAAGATGCGTAAGACTCGAAAGAAAAAAGTCATGAAAGAAAAACTGCCGCGGTTCCGGAGTAGTCGCGAAATTACTAGAGAGCACTAATCTTTTTTGGGGCCCTCAAAAATTTGAAAAATCGTACCCCCCCCCCCCCTTGAACGCCAGGGGGGGGGGTATCTCCCAAAAACGGTAAAAATTAACGTGTTTTTTTTACACGTTTTTTTCACAGGGCGGAGCCCTCAGAAGCTCAGGGGTATTAAACATCAAAATTAACGTCGGATGAGCATAATTTTATACCTTATTTGTGACAGTGGCAGGACACAATTTGGTGTTGGGTCCAGGGGGCGGAGCCCCCAGAAGCTCAGGAGTTTTGTCCATTAAATAATTATTATTTTATACCTTATTTGTGACACAGGGGTCACGAATTGGCGTGGGGTCCAGGGGGTGGAGCACCCAGAAGCTCAGGGGTTTTGGGCAATAAATAACGGTCAGATGAGCATATTTTTATATCTATTTGTGACACTGGAAGGACACAAATTGGTGTTGGATCCAAGGGGCGGAGCCCCAAGAAGGTGAGGGGTTTTATACATTAAATTATCGTCAGATGAGCATATTTATATATCTATTTGTGACACTGGCAGAACACAAATTCTTCTTCCTCTTCCTCTTCTTTCTTTCCTTTTATCTTCTCTTTCCCTCTCCTTCTCCAACATAAGATGCAAGACGGATATATATCGACTCACCTTCTTTCCAAGAACCATACGGGCCTGGAATTTACTTTCCCCCCCCCCCCCCAGCATCTTTGCCTGCGACGCAGTCGAAACCTTCAAAGCCGGACTCTTATGGGAAGCCATCCAAGGGGGTAATATAATCATAGTCCCTCCCCACAACTGCAATGTGATGGGACTTAATTCTAAAATGTTCTAGAAGCAACAAACACTCTCTCTCGAACGATAACGTTCTTATTGGTCATCTTTATATCCCTCTTGAGGATCAGGACCAGGATCAGAACAGATTCTCTCTCTCTCTCTCTTATTTATTTTTTGGCGGGGGGGGGGGGGGGGGGAGGGAGGAGGCAAGAGCACTTCGCCCCTGTTTCCCTCTTTTCTTATTCTTTTTCCTCTTCTTTCTTTCCTTTTATCTTCCCTTTCCCTTTTTTCCTTCTCTCTGTCTCCCCCATCAAAGAGACCACTCTGTAATCAAGACCATTCCATTTCATTTAATACATTTTCGATATACTTAAATTGGCAACTATTACCTTCTGTCCGAGATCCTCATTTTAAACGACTGATGCGAAAGACTAGTCGACGCACCCTTTCGAGAAAAGCCCCCCCCCCCCCCCCCCCCCCCCCCCCCCCCGCTTTCATCGAAAGGGTGTGTTAAAATGGTACTCCGCTCTCAACGCACCCTTTCGAGAAAAGGCCCCCCTCTTTTATCGAATGGGTGCGTTGAGCACACCACACCGCGCCGCACCGCACCGCACCCTTTCGATGAAAGCCCATATTTGTTGTATTGACCTACAGCGTATTATATTGGAGTAGGCCCTAGATTAAAAAGAAAAAAACCTCGAGGACGCCCTCTGTTGTCCTTTGAGGGTCAGTTCCTAGCTGAGCTGATGTCCTTTTGAGTTTGTCCTTTCTCGTTTTCGTGCTTGATGTCTATTTGCTTACCGTAAACCAAAACGCCCTCTGTTGTCCTTTGAGGGTCAGTTCCTAGCTGAGCTGATGTCCTTTTTGAGTTTGTCCTTTCTCGTTTTCGTGCTTGATGTCTATTTGCTTACCGTAAACCAAAACGCCCTCTGTTGTCCTTTGAGGGTCAGTTCCTAGCTGAGCTGATGTCCTTTTGAGTTTGTCCTTTCTCGTTTTCGTGCCTGATGTCTATTTGCTTACCGTAAACCAAAACGCCCTCTGTTTCTTCTGACCTGTACTTTGTCTATTTTGCTCTGACCTTTGATTTATTCTTTGTTAATTGGTCCTTTCTTCTGGGTACTTTGTCTATTTTGCTCTGTCCTTTGTTTGTTTGTATGCTTCTTTGTTTGTTTGTATGCATCTTTGTTTGTTTTTGTGACTGTTGATATTGGCCCCTTTGGCGCTCCATAGGTCTTGGCGTTGGCGAGTACGCGTACGTAGCGTTGAAAAATTGCCACGAAATAGACTGCCACCTTCAACAGAAAGCGAAGACGGCGAGGCGACGATTCTGGTTTCGATTCAGACTAGAAAACACGAACATTATTAGATTTCAAAATAAACTTTTACGATGGAGGTAATATTTCATGAATTTTCTTTCATATTAGAATAGTTACAAAATGTTTCACGACTATTGAGAATGATAAACGGTCGATAAAATTAAGCGTTTTTATTCTTCAGTCCCACACATTGTATTTTGTTTGAAGTTTAGACTTGGTGGAGTCTATGAATGTTGATCCAACGTTACGCTTATTCTGTTCATATTTGTTTCATTAGAAGTTTTGTATTAGAAATGAAAGTGAAAGCAATTTGTTAAAGAGGTTAGGTCTATGTATGGTACATTCTATGCCTGTTCTTGAGTGTCTGCATAAATAATAGTTCCGACTTCTGTCTGCCTGTCTGTCTCACTCTCAGTCTCAGTCCGTGTCTGTCTGCGAAATACATACTTACTTACTTACTTTACTTCAATCCATCGATGCTTGTAGGGCAATGCCTGTTCATCGATCATTGGGTTAAAAACATTTCCATCTCTCTTCGGGCGTAAGTCTTATCAAGTGAACATTTGTCTTTCATACATACATGTATGTTTAAACTGGATAGTGATGTGTGTGCATGGAGCAGAATCAGTTCTCAATTTGAATTTCTCTCTCCTTCGGGGTCAAAGACGGTAGGTAGATTCTTCCAGTGTTTGTCTAGTCTGTTTTTGAAGGAGTTAACTGAAGGAGCTGAAACTACCTCTTCTGGTAGATCATTCCACGAGTCAACCACTCTGTGAGAGAAGAAGAATTTTCTCACATCCAGGCGTGTGAATGATTTTTCCAGCTTTAGTGAATCCTCTTGTTCTTTCTCCTCTGTGAAGATGTAGGAATTCTGCACCAGCATTGTATAAGTCATGCAAATACTTATAGACTTCGATCATGTCTCCTCTCCTTCTGCGATGGACAAGGGATGGCAACTTCAGTTTTCATAGAACTCTTACCAAACTTTAGCTTACATCTAGCGCATGCGCATAACGTTCATCCGATCTCGGCGAATTGCAGCCTCATTTTCCTAAATTGGCGCCTACAAGGGCCCTTCTTTAACTTCTTATTGGCTACATACTACTACATGTATCTATTGCTGGCTGCCATTCACTCAATGTTTGGTGCGAGGAGAAAGCTTGCGATTTTGAAAGAAGATTTCAAAAAAGATGTCCATGCAAGTTATAAATTTTGCTAAACAGCTGCATCGCGCAATATAAAAGCGTATGCGTGTTGCAGTTTTATTTAAGGTTTCTAATTCTACATTCAGTAGACATGCACAAAGCAGACTTGTGCTGTTTGTAAAACTTTAGTAGGTCTAGATCTAGTCTAGAATGCGTGTTCATTATTAGAATTTGAATTTTGATTATGGTAGGTATTTAATTATTAGATGAGTAAAACTAATTATCCTTTAACTTACAGGAAGTCAGCAAGCACTCTGTCCACACGCTGGTGTTCAGATCACTCAAGAGGTCACATGACATGTTCATAGCTGACAACGCCCATCCTCCAAACAGGGATGCTGAAGCGTAAGTATGGAACCTCATTTGCGATAACGATTTATTTTCCTTGGGATTGAGCATATGGGTTTTATCTCAAGTTGCATTTGCAACAGCATTCAATGGGTTAAGAGTTGGGTTCAGATCTTGAGGAATGTTGGTAGAAGCAGGGGTTGTCATATAATTGCAGGGCAAACATGTTTTCAACAGTTTATCACTTTTTGTGATATTCTTTATTTTTGTTTTCCTTCTACATTTCTACAATATAGATGAAGAAATATTTTTACTCAGAAGAGGAGTATGTTACCAAATATTCTCACTGTCTTTCACTCTCTCTTTCTCTCGTTCTTTCTCTCTCTCTCTCTCTCTCTCTCTCTCTCCTTCCCCCTCTCTTTTCTCCCCCTCCTTCCCCCCCCCCCTTTTTTTTCTCCCCCTCTATCTTCTCCCCCTCTCTCTTCTCCCCCTCTCTCTTCTCCCCTCTCTCTTCTCCACTCTCCCCTCTCCCATCTCCCCTCTTCCCTCTCTCTGCTCCCCCTCTATCTTCTCCCCTCTCTTCTCCCCCTCTATCTTTTCCCCTCTCCATCTCTCGTACAGTCAAAATAAACATTATGTTATAAATTTATTGTATTTATTGGGATGTGATATATTCTCTTTTACTTGTGACCAACAGAGATAAGGTTAAGATTGCCTGCAAAGTGAAAGACCAGTATGGGATGGTACAGAACCTGACAGCTACCACAGGACACCAGAGAATAGCTGAGGACTCACATCAAGGAACAAGGGAAGAGAGCCAGGGGTATGAACAAGGTAAAGCAAGGGGTGGCAAGCTAGTGCCATATAATTTGGGGCACATTCACACTTTTTTTTAATGTAATGATATCAGTGCAATACCTTTCACGTTTCTCTTTCTTATTAATTATACATACGTAAAACCTTGTTATGCACATCTACTCGCTTCATCCCTGTTGTAAACCACTGCGAATGCCAGTGCTGTGTGTGAACATGCCGCTAGAGGTTGTGGTCAAATGTCTGATATACTTATGTATGTTATAAAATGCAAGCTGTACTGATGTGATGTGTAAATAACCCTTTATTCTGCTAGTGCCAATGCTGCATTATAGGTTTGTAGTTCAGTATACAAGCCATATTCTTTATATTTTGTGAACCTGTTTTGAATTTTGCTTTGTCTAAATACAAATTGGAAGGTTTTCACCGTTTACAGCAGTAAAAAGGGTTAACTGCTTTGGAGTGAGCATAGTTTGCTTGCATTTGATAAGTAAGTACCATAGGTGTTGACTATATTCCGGCCTGACGTCTACCTGAAAAAGCTAAAATTTAACTTTGTTTATTGATTTAGGATATGAGGAGATTCCAGCCCACATCCAACCAGGACATCCATACCCAAATGCACCAGGTAAGATGTATTTTCCTTAAAAAGATTTTTAAAAAGAAATCTATTTTCTGCACTTTCTGAGAGATGTACATGGTTCTCGACATCTTTCCCTGTGAATAGAGGGTGGTCCATAAACAGTTTTAACGTTGCACAGTAGTTGTCAGTCGCCAAGAGTGGACTTCACTCTTACGACAGACAGGTCTTGTGTAGTGCACTGGGCCCTACCCACCACCTTATGGAATTCTCATGATCTAGATCAAATTTCCCTCACCCTCGAGATATAGGCAAGTTGGAGTATTTCCTGGTAGAACCACGGGTTCGCTGCTTCAAATACCTTTGCATGCACAGACACATTCATTGGTACTTCATCCAAATCCAGTGCTAGCAAATTACGATACAATACACATATACTCTCAACTGCTATGTGGCTGTAACGTTTACTAATGAAAGTGGTTGGGGGCTTCATCCTTGATGTACATCGGTTACCTTTACACATTCAAATTTATGTTCGCCTACCACCCTGGAAGACTAGAGAAATTAAAGTGAATCAGTAATGCAGTTGCATACTCAGTATTTTTGCCATCATTTTACATGGCATGAATTTAAGATGTCAGTGCTAGGTGGAGAATATTCCCCCCCCCCCCCCACAAGGAAAAGAACAAGTTTGCTCTGTATTTCTTGCTTCTGCTAATACATGTAATAACACATTGGATGTTTATTTGTGGGGTTCAACAGTCTTTAATATCCTGTTTGACGAATTCACTTAATTATGAATATCTCATGGTTGGCATAATTACTTAATTTGCAAGTCACAGACAAGGTTTTCTTTCTATACACAGATCAAATATGTAAACGGTTGTAATTTCCAATCAAAGAAAACATATCTTAAAGCAGAAAAAAAATTGTCAGGCATGAATAACTTGAAGCTCATACTTTACCTATTGATATTCTTACTTGTAAGGAGTACCACTGTCTGAACATACTGCAAGACAACCAGGTCTTAGTCAAGGAGGTGTTCAGCAGGTGTTGAGAGGGCTTCCACCTTCAGAAGCTCAGTAAGTTATCTCTCTTTACTTTTGATTGTCTCTTTTATTTTTTCAGTCTCCCCGTTTTTTCTTCTTTTTTTCTTCGTCCACATCTCTTGTCCTCAATGTTTCTCTGTATTTCCTTGTTTCTTACTATCTCTTTTTTTTTCTCTCTCTCTACCCTCTCCCTCCTTCTTTTCAACTCCTTCCCTTTCCATCCATCCCCTATCCTCCTTACTTCCTTCCATCACTCCCTTTCCCTCCTTCCCCCTCCCTCCCCTTCCCTCCACCCCCTTCCCTCCCTCCCATCCTTCCCTCCTTGCTTCCTTCCCCCTCCTTCCTTCCTTTCCTCAAAATTTCCTTCCCCTATCTCTTGCCCCCTTCTTCTCCATTCCTCTCCCTCTCACTTTTCCTTCCCATCCTCCATCCCTCAGATACATGTAAGGTAAATATGAAGGGTTGTTTATTCTGAGGTTTCCAAACCATCTGATCTAAGAACAAAATTACAAATATTGCTGGAAATCACTGTACATTCATGTGGCCATTCAGGGCTACTTAAAGTTTCATGATATAGATTTATATATTTGTAATCTGAAAATATTCAAAATTCACCCCTTTTAGTGCAATTATTTGTTGTGGGGGATTCTTTTCCTTCTCATATGCATATAACAACAATGAAAGATAAAAGATAAGCTTGTTTTGTTATTGTTATTATTTCTCAATTTTAAAATATTTGTTGGGGTCTGGAAGAGAGGGGGGGGGGGGGGGGGGGAGATACACCAATTCCAATACTCAACACTTCATTTTTTTTTTACCCTCTAGGCTTCAGGCTTCAAGAACAGCTCCTGGAATTGAAGATATTCAGAGGAAAGCTGGCATTCCAGAGAGAATACAACCCCCAGGATCAAGGGTAAGACACATGTCTATCCGCTAGAAATATTCTATCTATATTTAGGAAGAAGCAACAGATTGTATGTATAATGTGCTTACTTCTGCAAAGGAATTTGTACCCAAAGTTGCTGTGAGTCAAAGCTGTATAACAAAAATAATTTAAAAAAAATAAAATGATGTATAGATTGATTTTGTTGATGAAATTTCCCACTTCTGTCATTAATTTTGTGAATTAAAAATAGATGGATTTTTTAGTTACTTCTCATTGTGATGTGTTTGAGGTGGTTAGTTTATTTGTTAAGATGGTTATAATTTATAAGACATTGCTCTTGATTTCCATCACTCCTTTAATTCAATTTACAATCCCAAATAGGCCTTGGTAGCTGTTTCCTCTGGCACCAAGAACTCAGCCATTGTTCCTAGGAAAGCTCCCACAATGCCTAAACCAAAGTGGCATCCTCCGTGGAAGCTGTACCGCGTGATCAGCGGCCATCTTGGATGGGTTAGAAGCATAGCTGTGGAGCCGGGCAATCAGTGGTTTGTCACAGGTGCAGGCGACAGGGTCATTAAGATCTGGGATTTGGTAAGTTTGGCAAGCTGTTAAGTATCTCACTTCTCTCATTTATTCTGTTCCTTCCGTGTATTTGTATCTCTCTCCCTCTCTCTCTCTCGCGCACTTGCGCACTCTATGCCTGTCTTCCTCCTTCTCTTTTCTCTTTTCTCTCACTATCTCTGTTCCCCTCCCCCCCCCCTCTCTCTCTCTCACACACACATACAGAGTACACATACACACACTCTGTCTATTTGTCTTCTTCTTTCTCCATCCCCCCCCCCCCTTTCTCTTCCTTCAAAATTTTCTTTAGCATGTGTATTTGCTTTCCGTCTTTATTCTCTGTGGCTGTACATTGTACTTTCTTAAGCTTTAGTAAGAGTGATTGATTTTGATAAGTGACAAGTAAAAATTGCATTACTATTTGTGGTAGGGTACATGTATATCAAAATGGCTAACTTTGAATCATTACACGACCTTTCCTAAAACAAAAGCGGGAGGTCACGTGATTTTTCGTAGATTTGCTGTAGGATCTCACAAAGTGTTGGGTAAAATAGGATCAGCCCATTTGTAGATGGGAGGGGTTTATTTCACAAACATTACCCCCGACATTTCGTGAATAAAGGGGCATGTTTTCACAAAATGTTAGCTCAGCCACAGCCAGGGTAATGATATGATTGCAGGGCCCTCAGGGGGAAGAGTATGAATACTGATGAGGCTACCCTGGGTAAACAAGACATATTATTATTATTGTTATCACAAATTTATATTGTTTCTTCCATTTTTGTTGTTAATGAATATCAGAAATATATTATTGAAAATATGTCTTCTATTAACTCGACAGTTCAACAAATATTTGTATCTTGAGTAGTCAATTTTATTCTTTTAATAAATATGAATTACCTTGAATATATGTTTGTTAATTTGTTGCAAATGAAAATCAATAAAATTCCTGTGAAGGGAAATAGTATTTTTTTTAAAGAAAAAAAAAGATGAAATAACAATTACAAAAAATTAAAATAATAATAATAATTTATTATCACACATGTGACAATTCTCTTTCCCCCGTCCCTGTCCATTTGCAGGCTAGTGGTCAGCTGAAGCTATCCTTGACCGGTCACGTGAGTGCTGTCCGTGGTCTGGCAGTGAGCCCTCGTCAGCCCTACCTCTTCTCCTGTGGAGAGGATAAGATGGTCAAATGTTGGGACCTGGAAATGAACAAGGTACTGTAACATATTTGATTATTCTATATTCGTAAACATTCACCTTGATACACATGTATTTCAATGTTTTTCACATGCTCTTTTTTAACTATTTACTTGGCATTATTGTATGTGTATTTTATTTTTACATATTATATTGCATTCTTTTGTGTTTGTTTTTAGGGGCCCCTTTTTGCGGCGGTTTACCGCGCCACATTTTAATGAGCTTTTATGATGAGAACAACTGAGGCCCATGATAAGTTCTGATTCCTCTCTGTTTATCATATAGGTCATTAGACATTACCATGGTCATCTCAGCGCCTGCTACGCCCTTGACCTCCATCCGACCATTGACATCCTGGCTACGTGCGGACGAGACGCCACCATCAGGATATGGGACATGCGGTCAAAGGCTTGCGTCCACACACTGACCGGTCACACCAATACAGTAGCATCGGTCAAGTGCCAGAGTGCTGAACCTCAGGTAAAGAGTTATTGTAAATTACAACATTGATTTTGATTTTGATTTTAATTTTTTTTTTTTTTTTTTTTTTTTAATGGATGGATTTTATAGATGTAGAATGGGGCATGTAACTAGTTCAATCTCAAAGGGGATAGGGCATGTGACTTGAATTTGAGCTAAAATTTTTACATGCATTTATATCATCAAAAGTATAATGTGAGGGTTTAAATTATGTTCCGGGTTAGGTTTTAGATTTAGGGTTGGGTCCAGGTTAGAACTTCAGAATCTGGTTCGTCTAGGAACAAATTACATAGCAGGTGTGGCCAGAGCAAATCAGAATTTCAATGAGACGGTCTTTAATTCCAGATTTGGGGGAAGCCCACTTTGGACCATCAGGCGGGTACAAGACCCTTCCCCCCAAAACAAAATATTAACAAAATATTTAAAACATAGGGAGAGAGAGATTTTGACAGTGTGTTGGGCTTCTTTCATTATAAAATTTTTACGGAGTCAGGACATTGACCCATATGATTAAACACAGTATCAATGCCCTTCTTACTCCAAACAGACAATATGTAACTTTGTATTAATTTGATACAGTTATCAACGTAAATAACTGTATTACTTTAATTTATCAAAAGTCCAATAGGAATTGTGACTTTAGGATGTTTCGTGCCCTTGAAACGGTAATAATAATAATAATAAAAATGTTGCTTATAAAGCGCTTACCACCGAAGTCTCTAAGCGCCATGACAAACAAAATAGACTGATAAACAATTACATATTAAAAAAAAAAAAAAAAGTGCAAATAAACCTACAAATTACAATACATACATATGGTAATACTACAATGATTGTAAATTTGTAATCATCGAAAGTGATACTGAGTCGTATAACCTCTTTCATGTTTGTTGTAAACCAGATTGTAAGTGGCAGCCATGACTCTACCATCAGACTGTGGGACCTGGCAGCGGGCAAGTCCAGAGCAACCCTCACCAACCACAAGAAGAGTGTCAGATCTGTTGTTCTACATCCGAAACTGTGAGGACATGTAATAGTTTCAATTTTTGTGTTGTGAAGATAGCTGCCTGAACTGAAATATTTTCAATGTATTTTTTAAATGGGTAGATACATCTATGTTGTGCTATGTACAGGAAGATAAAACTGATTTTATCGTACATAAAGGTGGCTGTGGAAACTGACTGAGTCAGAGTAGACCAAGAGAAGCTAAACTCCAAAAACAAGTTGCTTTCAGTTAAAGGAGAAGTAAAACAGCAGACTCATTTATAAAATAATGACTTTTTATTTGTCTTTTCAATTTATTTTTACATCTCCAATACTCATAGTTTTCTGTGAAGCTTGGATAAATGTCACATGTATCTTCATGAAGGCTTTCAATTAAGAGGAAAATGAAGATGAAAAAATCTTGTTCTTTTGAAAAGTTTTGAAAAGTGTGTTTGTTGGGTAGGGGGCATCGTGACCATAGACCTCATCTGTAATGGTTTCATGATAACTAGTATGTGCTTTTGATATTATTATTATTATTTATTTGGCATTTCAAACATACAATAGAAGGTACAATAGAATGGCACATAGGATACAAAGTATGAAAGAATGAAATTGGCTTACCCTGCTGCACCTCTCGAAGTTGCCTGGAAGAAAAAAAGGAATGTGAAATTCCTATAACCTGTTAGTCTTTTCTTCCGACTCCACGAAATGCAGCAGGGATGCCTGAAATATTATACATAATTAGATTACAAATGGACTAAAACAAGGAGTTAAAGCTTATCTGTACTAGTTTATAGGAGGGATTAGACCACCCTGCAAGGTCACTGGACATGTGATTATCTCATCAACTCAACTCTCAATTAACATAAGAGAAAGAGGATCATGGGGGACCAACACGCACCGATTAGGCATTGTTATCTATAGAGGGAGCAAGTAGCTACAAGTAGGACAGTGTGGCTTTAAAGAGTTGACGTTGGGCTTTCATACCTCAAATATGATAACTATGGGCATCCCTCGGAATCTCAGAAAAGACGTTATTAAAGGTTGTTGATATTCTGTTCTCCTATCCAAGGTACATGATGGCGTCGGCATCTCCAGATAACCTCAAGCAGTGGAAGTTCCCTGAAGGAAACTTCATGCAGAACCTAGGAGGCCACAACGCCATCGTCAATTGCTTGGCTGTCAACTCGGATAATGTTCTCGTGTCGGGAGGTAAGTTGATCATGCTAGCCTATCTTTATAACAACCCTAGTGGCATTTGCACAGCAAAACCTGCTTATAAAGACCACCCAAGGGAGACAAGAAAAGTGGTCTTTATAGGCAAGTGGTCTTTATGTACAGGTTCCTTTAGTTCATGTTTCAATGAGAAACCATTTTCAAGGGAAACAAAAAATGTGGTCTTTGTAGACAGGTGGTCACTAAAGAAGGTTTGACTGTATAACAATTATGTTCCTAAGTGCTTTACATTGTAAGGATTCAATTGCTATTTAAAACCTAATAATGCACATCCTCCTCTCCACAGGGAAAATTCCAGCCAGGTGTCTTTTTCCTACTTCTCTTTCTGTCCTTTCCTTTTCTGGTCCTCTTCCCCTCTTTCTCTCTTTTTCTCTTCTTTGTTTATTTTCATTATACACTTTCATATTGGCTCTCTCTTTCTGTCCTTTCCTTTTCTGGTCCTCTTCCCCTCTCTCTCTCTCTCTCCCCCTCTCTCTTTAATTATACTTTCCTATTGGCTAGTGGCTATTGTTCACAATTGCACAAATATGTACCAAAGGAGAAGAAAAAAAACGCATTTGATTCATTTTCATTCCTTTTTTTGTACACACCTACAGGAGACAACGGTTCCCTTCATTTCTGGGACTGGCGGTCAGGCTTTAACTTCCAGCGGACCCAGGCCCCGGCCCAGCCCGGGTCGCTCGACAGCGATGCTGGAATCTTTGCCATGACCTTTGACCACAGCGGCAGTCGACTTCTGACTGCAGAGGGCGATAAGACCATCAAGATCTACAAGGAAGATGATGAAGCGGTGAGTGCATGTAACGGTTTAAAGCCTATCTGCACTAGTTTGGCCATGAGGGATTGAACCTCCCTGCATGGTCACTGACAGGTGGTTATCTCATCAAATTAGCTCTCAATTAACATAAGAAAAGGGGACCATGGGAGACCAACGGTCACTGCTTCTAGGCATTCTTTTACTTCATTATTTATAACTATTAAAGAGTTTCATATCTCATGATATTGCCATTTTCAACAAAATTGCGTTGCATTGAGATTGTAGTCAGACATTGTAGAGTTAACAAAAAATTAATATTGGTTCAGAGAAAAGTACTTACTACAATCCAATTCACATTTACGCAGAATAATTCAGGGCTTCAACTTTTACAGAGATTGTAGTATTCCCTACGTAATGCACAATTTAAATTAAAAATATTATTGTTTTTATTTTTATAATCCAGTGCCAAAATTATAGAAAATGTAGCATGGTATGTGCTGTATTTAGCGACAATCCCTCCTCTCTTTCATATTGTTAACCAAGATCCCAAGTGTATTCTCAGTCACCTTGCTACCTGTAGACACTATTTTCAGATTTTACATCGAATAGATTTGAGAGTTTAATATTTGTCTAATAAAATATTTAATTTTTTTCTCTCTTTTTTTTTTTTTTCAGACGGAAGAGACTCATCCTCTAAACTGGAAGCCCGAGATCCTGAAAAAGAAGAAGTATTAAAAGAAAGATGGCTGGCATGTATTCCTCTGAGTAATGATTGCTGTCTGTTAATGATGCCTTGCTCACCTAAACCTGGATACAATGGAAAGTCATCTGCTACAAAGACTTTTTGTTAGGATAATCACAACACGTAGTTTATTCTTCTACAAACCTTATTAATTTAGTGCCTGGTACGCAAGCTTTCGCCTACTCCTAAAAATTTTCTCAAGCCAAGCGATTCTTCACACAGTTTGTTGCTGTCTGCTGTCTCAAGATCACTAGAGCTCAGTGAGAAGCATGGCCCTGCGTGTTATCAGTGTCTGTGATATGGTGTAATATTGAAGCCCCCCAAAAATTGCGCTTCAAAATGATCACGAAGTGCCTCAAAAAAGTAAAAATATTTGAGTGACCGGTTTACCATATCCATTGTCCCCAATAAACTGTAGTGTTATAAAACGGTTAGGAAAACTGTTTTTGAAATTTTGATTTCCAATCATATATATCTTGATAATCAGACAGGCGACCGGCTTGTTAAAGTCATGGGGTTCCTGACTGACCTAAAGGTTTATAATTATGATTGCAGCATGAGCTAAATCCAGGATTTTTTTTTAGAATCTGAGACAAAGATACCCAATCTAAGTGATCTATCTCTTATCAGTCTATCATGTATAGTGGCAGATCCAGCGGGTTGTTCAGAATGTTGTGGATAAATTTTCAGGAGAAAAAATGAAATTGTGAATGATCCAGAGCATTGGGGCTGCCAAAGTACATGCCGAGGGGTTATGAGAGGATGCAACGTTCCCGAGAGCCAACAGCCAGGCCTTGAATATTAAAGCAGTCGATAATATCTTTTATATACCGAATTAACACAAAAATCTACCAAGAATTCTTACCTTATCCTTTTCCTTTTCTTAAACGTAAACCAATTGGGATCGCAGCAAAATTTTACAATTTATCCGGTACCCGGAATCTTGCGGGCATCTCACTCATAAACTATTAACCGGTACTGGCATTGTTCGTTTCTTTACGGGAATGGCTAAAATCACGACTCCAATTTTGACCAATCAGATGGCTAGATTTCTAAAGAGAGTGCCATTTAAACTGTATCAACATCAATAATAGCTCTTCAATTGCTACATAACCTCATAAAATTGAATGAAATATGCCATTAAACTGTATCAACAACAATAATAGCTCTTCAATTGCTACATAACCTCGTTAAATTTGATATATGCCATTAAAACTGTACAAACAACAATAATAGCTCTTCAATTGCTACATTATCTCATAAAATTGAATGATATATGCCATTAAAACTGTACCAACAACAATAATAGCTCTTCAATTGCTACATTATCTCATAAAATTGAATGATATATGCCATTAAAACTGTACCAACAACAATAATAGCTCTTCAATTGCTACATAACCTCATTAAATTGAGTGATATATGCCATTAAAACTGTACCAACAACAATAATATCTCTTTAATTGCTACATAACCTCATTAAATTGAATGATATAATGCCATTAAAACTGTACAAACAACAATAATAGCTCTTCAATTGCCACATAGTTTTTTTTCCCCCAGATGCTTTTTCTTCTCCCAGAATAATTTCATCCACACTATGAATAAACGAGTAAATTAATTAACAAATTTTCCTCACCCCAGGGGATGATATCATAAATTTGAGAGCCAATAGTGCATTTGATATTGTAGGGTTAGGTACATGCCAGTTTTTGTATACATTGTACTAAATATAACACAGTGTCTACACTTTAAAATTGTAATTTGTGACTTTGTTTTCCAGAGAGCTCTTTTTGTAACATCTGGTAAAGATTTGTAATAAAAATTAAAAATGTACATACATACTGATGGATGAATGTTTTATTCCCATTTTTTGTTCTCCTTTGAAAGAGAGAGAATGAGAAGAATGAGTTATTGGAAAAAGTAGAGAATGTGAAGATATTTATAAAGGTTGGGTGAAATAGCATGATAAACGGTGAGTAGATGGGAGAGCGACAGAGAGGGGAGGGTAAGATACGGAGGAAGAGAGAAAGAGAGAGGGGAAAGGAATGTGTGTGTGTGTGTGTGTGTGTGTGAGAGAGGGGGGGGGGAGTGAGATCTAGAACAGGAAACTGCTTGAGGGGAATAAAGAATAAAACTTAAAGAATAAAACTGAAAGAGTAGGAAAAGAAATCGTCGAAGAGAGATAATCTGCAAGCAAGAATTAGTCGGGAGACTATAAATTACAGTCAAACCTGTATTCGTGGCCACCTCTCTATAAAGGTCACCTGTCTATAGTGGCCTTGCGTTTTGTCTCCCTGGACTCTTGTTGAGTAGAAATGTGTGTTTTAGAACCTGTCTAGAATGGCCACCTGTTTGCAGTGGTCAATTTTTCTCTTTCCCTTAAGTGGCCTTGATAGACAGGTTTAACTGTGCTTACAAGGCAGCATAGATAACAATTTATCCCGAGGGCACAAAGGCCGGCAAATGTAGCTTTTTAAAAACTTGTACATATAGAGGAACATACATGTACTTTAATATATATTTCAACTTCTTCATACTATGAATAAGTACAATAATCACCATCCTTTTTGCCGACCCTATCTCTCTCTCTCTCTCTCTCTCTCTCTCTCTCTCTCTCTCTCTATATATATATATATATATATATCCCTCCCTCCCTCTCTCTCTCTCTCTCTCTCTTTCCATCTTATTATTGCCACTTGATAGTGGAAAAAGAGTGCGTTCGTTGGTATCCAAAAAAAGAAAGATCCCCAGCATTAATGGAGCAAGTTTGTTATAGATTTCGATAGAAGTAAAGTTTAAGACGTTTTCTACCAAGTAAATAGTTGATCCCGAATTGTATCCGTTTCAAAACATTAACGTTTCGTTTTCAGAGAGTAAATTTAACATTTTTCTTTTTCATTCCGTAGCGTAATTCTTTCTATTGACTCTTTTAGAAGCACTCTTATATCCCCCACCTTCAAAATTATGACACTTATGCAGAGTTATGTTAACGTCATTCTTTCATTGTTTCGTCCAAAACCCCTACAGTTCACCCATTTTATAAACAACTTCTAATATTACCTTGATTAGAATCATTGAGAATATTTAGAGTACCCAAGAGTGTTGTCATACTGGCCAAGTTGTCAAGGTTGCTGGTTCCAAACAATATTTGGTGCGGTGATCGCACTAGCTCTGAACACTGAGTTTGATCTGCTCCAGTCCGTTGCTTGAATGATTTTGCGGTAAATTGATTTGATTTGATTTGATTTATTTATTTCTGTTTGATTTTCTTTTTCTTTTGCATTTTTACAAATATATAACAAACAAATATTGCAAATTTACACATGACAAAAGAATAAATGTAGAATAAGGTAAGGATGGGTGTAACTAATCGAGAACATCAAACAGGAGGGTTGACAAAATAAGCAAAGCTTGATAGTATGACTACTCTCAAAGGATACATAATAATACAAATATGGAGGAACAAAATATTGGTAAAAAGGGGGAAAAGACAGAAAAAAGAAGAGAAAAGAAGGAGGGGATGCACATCAATATTCACAGACTTATGTGGTAGTTGGATTTCAAATTGATATATAAGGATTTTAAATAAGAAAAGAAATGCAAATTTGAATACTGAGTGGCCAACTTGGGATACAATAGAATGAGAAGACTCTCAAGGTTCGGACAGTAAGAATGTGAAAGTAAGATCAGCCAGCTGGTTTTAAACCTGGGCCTGCGAGTCAGAGCCTTGAAATGTTTGTATAGAAGGCTCTCTTGTTTAAAATCAATAACCTGGGCGACGAGCGAATATGATGTCACACTTCGTTACTGTATACTGTGTATAGGCTTGCATGAATGCAACTTGCGGAATACCTAGAAACCTAACTTCCCTTCATTCCTACTATATGTCATTCAGATCGATCAGTGGTAGATTAAGGATTACCCCAAAAAGGGGCACCACCCCGAAAATTCTCTGTCGAGCCATTACTGTGCACTTTAATAATGAAATGCTACATGAAGATTGGGTTTAAAAGGAGCGCAGACCTGTGTTGCCCCCCCCCCCCCCCCCCTCTCCTCGTTTCGCTAGTGATTCCATATCGGTATGTTCCAGAGAGAGAGAGAGAGAGAGAGAAGTGATCCCACTGCGCTCTATTAAATGGAATAGTGACTGCTCCGTGCAGCGAATGTGGACGCAGACAATCAACCCTGATAATAAGTAATACTTATTTTCCCGCCAATTTACGCAATCATCAAATTGCAGTTCACCTACCGTGCTCCATCGTATCATCTATAAATCACTTACGTTCCACACAGTTCGTTCGGTCAGTTCTGAAAAATACCTTCGGTGTAAACAAAAATGACTCAATTAGACCGGATAAACGAGGAGGAGTCCACATCTGGAAAAGAGACCTGTGGAAACCATGTCCAAACCTTTGTCGACACGGTTACTGACGTCGATGTCGGTAATGATGACGTCAGCGTGAATAGAGAATCGGAAAAGAGCTCTACGCTTTCGATGAAAGAATTTTTTGGAAGAACAACTTTACATGGTGTCAAATATGTCAGCAATACGGAACACAGCTGTAGCCGCAGGTTAGTTCGAAATCGATGTGAAGTAGATCTTCACAAGTGAGTTTGATTTGTGTTGGTTAGTATTCAGCAAATATCGTTAGAGACGGCGCGCCGCGCCTCGGGGTTATATAGCAGGATGTAACGTCTCCTTGAGCCTATAGAAACATAGATGCCTCTCATAGCAGTCGATATATCTTTACTATCACCGCCATTATTGTTATCATTATCACCATCTTAATCATCACCATCCCCATCATCACTGTATCAGCACCATCATTATCGTTGTCATCATCGTAATCATCGTTATTATTATCATCATCGTCAAGATCATCATTACCATCATCGTCATTATATGTAGCATCTACATCATCATCCACATCGTCATCATCATTATCAACACCATCATCTTCATCACCACCACACCATGGCTAATTACCTGTAGTGCCTCGTCTTTTATTTAAAAAAATCCACTCCTGTCGGCCTATTCGGAAACCAAACATGACCTTTTTTTTCTCCATCTCCTCTCGGCCATCGTATGTATTATTGTATTATTTATTCGGCACTTTCAAGAAATATAACAATAACAAAATATCATCATGGTGATTACAAAATTAGAATGACAAAAATTAAACAAATACAAATTTGTGTAGCAATACTCTGAGTGCAAAAGATGGCGGCCAGGGAAGCAGAGAGCAAACTAAATCACTGTAACCTAAATGGTCCCTCCGCCCAACCAATTGATGCACTCAGAAGATCTGGTAAAAATAAAGCATAAGGACAAATAAAGAGAGTA